GAGAGGGCAACACACCTCCAATGCTGGTGGGAGTGCAAACTTGTACAGCTATATTGGAAATAAGTTCCTCAGGAAAATTAGAATTTGTCTAATACAAGATCCAGCAATACCTCTCTTAGCCATATACCCAAAAGATGCACATTCATGCAACAAAGACGTATCTTCAACTGTGTTCATAACAGGATTATTTGTAATGTCCAAATCCTGCAAGCAACCTAGATGCCCTCACCTGAAGAATGGATAAAGAAAATCTGGTACATTTACACGATGGAGTACTACTCAATGGAAGAAAAACAATGGGATCTTGAAATTCACAGGTAAATGGATGGAACATAAAGAAACCATCCTGAGTGAGAGAACCCAGTCACAAAAAGATGAAAGATGACCATGGTATGTTCTCACACATATATGAATATTAGACATAGAGTAAATTATCAGGAGCCTACAGTCCACACAGCCAGAGAAGCTAGGAAACAAAGAGGACCCTAAGAGACATACATGGTCCCTCACAGATGGGGGAAGGAACAAGATATGCTGAGCAAATTGGGGGCAGGCAAGGGACAGGGGAAAAGAAGTTAGGAGAAAGAGAATGAGAGAAGAAGGGAGAGGAGAACATGGGGAAACAGTAATATTGAGTCTAGAAAGAATAGAAAAGAACTAGAAAAGATATACCATAATAGAGGGAGCCATTATAGGTCTAAAGAGAAATCTCACGCTATGGAAATGTCCAAAGACCTACAAGGATGACCCCAACTAACAATCTAAGCAATAGTGGTGAGCCTACATTAAATGCCCTTCCCAATAATGTGATTGCTGTCTACCTTAGATGCCATTCTAGAGCCTTCATCTAATAGCTCATGGAAGCAGAAACAGACACTCACAGCTAAACACTGAGCTAAACTCCTGGAATCCAGTTGTAGAGATGAAGAAGTGATGATCAAAGGGGTCAAAACAAGGCTGGAGAAACCCACAGAAACAGCTGACCTGATCACGTGGGAGCTCATGGACTCCAGACTGATAGCTGAGAAACCATCATAAGTTCAAGCTAGACCCCCTAAATCAGGGTCTTAGCTAGGGGCCTGGGTAGTCTATGCTAGGTCTAACAATGGAACCAGGATGTATCCCTAGTGCAGGAACTTAATTCAGGAGCCCATTCCCAATGGGGAGCTACTCCCTTAGCCTATAGACAAGAGGTAGGGTCTAGGCTGTCTGATTTGACAAACTTTGATGGTCCCTCATGGAAGGCCTCACCCTCCCTGGGGAGTAAGTAGATGGGGGATATTATGTGGGAAATCTGTGGAGGGCATTCTAGGATGGAAGAGAGAGGGAACTGTGATTGATATGTAAAATAAAGAATATTGAATAAAATAATAATGATAAGAAGACAACCAAATTCAATGATTCTCTTCAATATGTATTGAAGCATGGTACCTCACTTGGTTGCACAGCTCACTGATTCAGCTAGTCCAACTAGCTTGCTTTGGCAATCCTGTCTTTGTTTTCCATGCCCTGGAATTACATGCAGACATTCATGTACTAAAGGCAGCTGCCTAGATGCTGTTTAGATTCCTGTTCTTATGTGTGTGCAAGAAGAACTTAATGCAATAAATTACCTCTTTAGCTTCTATATTTTACTTATTTTGACAGTATAAAGTTAAAATTAATGATTTGCCTCAATAACAGAAAAATTTTCTGATCCTATGAAAATGAACGCTTTTTAAAATTAAGAATTAAATTCAAAATGATGAGATATTTAGATATTTTGTAAAATAGAACCTGTATATTTTATCTCATTATATAATATAATTATTTAAAATCAATATTTTAAATCTTTGTATAAACAATAATGAATCATTATAAAAAAGAGGGGAGAAAAGATAGTTTGACTCATCTTTTAGGTCATATTAATAATCCCCAAACTGTCAATATTATTATTAAAAATAGTATTATAGAAATAAACTCATTAATAAACAGATCTATAATACTTTATATTTCAACATATTCCATGTAAATATCAAATGATAAACCAAATAATATTATGATTGAGATTTGAACTCCACAATATAATTAATCTAAAAATAAATTTACCTAGCAATTTCATCCTAAATGGAAAAATAAGCATGATCTGATCAGTTCAGTATATGTAGAATAAATTTTGATAATAATAATAATAATATCTATTTATATGTCTTTTATTTATGTGAAGAAAATGGAATTAGAAATGTTTCCCAGATTTCAATAAAGTATCTAGAAACTATATGCTGTTAACATTAAAATCAGTAATTTAAGATTGTCTTTCTCCCATAATCTGAAGACAAAATGCTCACTCCCTTGAACATTGTGGCTAGTATCCATTCAATGCCCTAAGGCAATATAAGCATGAAGACTGGAAAGAACAAGAGTCAATATATCTGTATTCATAGGGAAGATGAGTGGGTAAATAAAGTAGCTAATGGAATCTATAAAAGCAATGCATTATTAAGTGACTTACTAAGGTTACACATTTTATTTGTTTGGTAGTGCAATGTTCAATTTTAATTATTGATTTGTTACAGTATAGGGTCACTTAGGGAAAGGGGTGTTTGTGAGGGATTGTCTGAATTGCAATGATTGATTTAGGAAGGTCAACACACTGTGGGCAGAACCATTCTTGGGTGTGACTTCCTAGGCAACATGAAAAGTAAAAGTGAGCTAAGAAATAGCAGACACATGAGTCCACTGGTCTCTGCTTTAAATTATGGCTGAAAAACAATGAATTCTCTCAAGTTCTTGTCACTATGATTTTCTGAAATTATTGATTGTAACTTGGGACTATGGAATGAATAAACCTTTTCTTACTTGAATTGCTTTTGACAAGTATTTTTATCATGGTACCAAAAATAAAACCAAGACAAGTTTCATAAATTATACTTCCATATACTCAAAACTGTAAATTATAATTCAAAGGCATTATATTAGCATATGGATAATTAATTAAAGTTAACAGTTAAAGTAAACATAAAAAACATGTTAGAACAAATAATATTAGATATCTATACAGCACTCATTTAACAAACAGAATATCCATTCATTTCAATAGAATATTCTCAAGATAAATTAGAAGAAAAATATCTCAACATATTGAAATTTTTCAAAACATTTTTTCGTACATAATTAAATAAAACTAGTAGTCAAAGAAAAACTACTTGAAAACATTAATTCAAATTAAAGGATATTAAAGAGATTATTCTCTTATTTATCATTTTCTATAATTTTGGGTTTATCTTATTTTACTTATTAAATTAGCATGCAAAATAACCAATTTCTTTGTGGCATTTTCACATAGACTTAGTTCATACTATCCAACAATACTCCTTTCTACTCTTTTCTGTCCCATACACACACATAAACACACACATATAAATAAATAAATAAATAAATATAAAAAAAAACAACAAAAAAGCCAAACCAGTTACTTCATTTACTATAAAATTTCCAATTTCATCTGTTTCCTGCAAACTTTATAGCTTCATTTCTTTACCCCAGAACAAATTTTCACTGTGTATGCCATAAGTTCATAATCTATCCAACTTTTGATCTTTTGATGGACATCTAGACTGATTCCATTGCCTTGCCTTTATGAATGAAGGGACAAATATCCTCTGTTGAATAGTCAGAGGGTTAAGAGAATAATTGAAGTTTAAAATATACATTTCTTGAAACAAATATATTGAGATACAGTACACCATGAAAATCTATACCATCATGGTTGTTTATAGAAATCAAAACATGCACCAAATATTTGGAAATAACTCTAACAAGTATATTGTACTGTATTTTTAACTGCTGTAAAAGCAAGAAAGTTAGTTCAAGAGAAATATGCTTGTGATATAAGTTAGCAATGAAAGTAACAAATTATCTTTAAAAAATGTATTAAATACAAAAAGTTGATGTTATAAAAGTAGGAGTAGAATGATGGTAATTAGTTACTATCAAGATTGTCTTATATATTTACCCTATTTACATGATAAAATACCCAGAAAGGGAAGGCAGCAGGAGGCAGATCTCTGAGCTTGAGGCTAGCCTAGTCTATAGAGTTCTAGGGCAATATGTTATATTCCAGAACACTGGTTAGTTTTATATAGCCATGTCACTCAAATCTTAAACATATTCATTTCAAGTGCATTTATAGCATCTTTAGATTCTTCTTTAATCAATATGTTCTAAAGAACAGGGCACTGAGGACCACAGAAATGTTTCTTTTATGTTCACATTTGTGCTGATCGGATCATCTACAATTTATAGGAGATGTTAAAAGTTTTAAAAAGGTTGCTTTCCTTTTATATTCAAAAAAAATCCATTCTTTCATCTTGCCTTTAGGCTTTACATGATTGAAACATGTTCGTTCTATCTATCTATCTCTATCTATCTATCTATCTATCTATCTACCTATCTACCTATCTATCTTGTTTTTCCTAGCATGTTTGGACAAAAATAGCGTAAGTATAAATAAATAATTAAAGAAATAAACAGCTATAATTACTCTTTCCTATCTGAATAATATGCTTCACATGTCAGAGTATTATTACAAAACAAGAATTCCTTGGGAGAAATAAATTAACAATCTATTGGTTTTCTTTGTGTAGAGCTTCCCCATGAACTCCATCCTTTAAACACCTGACTCATTCCCTTTAACATTCAGTAATTCTCTTTTGTGACAAACATCAAACATGTTCCCAGAAATTTATAAGTTGCTCAGAGAGAGATGGTAATCCCCTAGTTAACAATAATTCACTGTTATTTGATAATCTCCAAATACATCATGACATGAAATCATGACTTCTAGAAAAAGAAAAATGTTAAAATCTTTATATTTTACTGAAAATAATAAATACATTTTAGATCATAGTAGCTAATAGTATTGCTCTCTTCTTAAAACCATCTTCCATGTTTATAGTTGACTTAGTAAAAACAAAGTAAGCATCAATTTATAGTAAATACAATATGACAAATAGACTTACAATCTTGGTATAGACATTTCTCCCACTTGTGACTTGCCAGGGCCTAAGTTTGGTGATGTGGAAAGGTGATGTCATAAAGAGAACAAGAACCCTGTGACTTATGGGGAATGCTGAGAATTTTTTCTGCTTGAGGTTTTCTGTCATCTAAAATTCTAAGATTAAAGTTTACTATAACTTATGATTACATAGTAAGCTTAAAACATGACAGTCACATTTTATTAAGAACTTGATTTTTGAATAGGTTCAGTTAATTATTATGTTGGGTCTTGGGTTCCTTTGTTGTTTTTATAACTTTATTTGAGAAAAAGGTCTCTCAATGTAGTCCTGGCTTTTCTGGAACTCCCAATATACAACAGGTTCTGCTCAAACTCACAGATTGTTCTTCCTTACAGGTGCTGGAAAAGGCATGATAAAGCCCGGGCTTTATCAACATATTGAAAAATAAATTTCAAAATTTAACTCCGACAATCTTTTATAACCCAAATTCAATTATATTCATTTACCTTGTATTAAATATTTTGCCTAAATTTCCATTTCTTTTTGCCTTTGTAATCTGATATAGATTCAACATGTGAAACATGTCCAAAGCTTCAGACTGATAATACTGAAGAGAGAACTCAATATCTAAGAGTGCTTGCTTTTGTTACAGAGGAATTTGTTCAGTTCCCAGCACCCATGTTGGGATTGCCATAAACTCCTATAATTCCAGCATCGACACCTGAGTACACCTATTCATATCCATTCACATAACTAAAAGTAAATCTTAAGAGAAAACACAATACTGGATAAATTACAAACATAAGCAAATATCTATGAATGTATGAAGCAATAGAAATAAGTGATATTTGTATATCTGGGTCTGTTTTATTGCTCCTGTTTCCAGTTCTCTTCATTTTCCTTCATCTCATGATTTGATTGTATTTAACAGGTGAATAAGTCTTCATTCTATATATAGAGTCCTTTTATTTATACGTTATTTATTTGATGATACATATAGGTTCGATTCATCTCTAAGTGCCAAAAAACAAGCATGTAGAACTTATAGTCCCTTTTACATATATCCAATAGAAGTTTGTTGAGAAGCTTCTACAATGATTTGTTGAAGTGGTTAATATTCCTACCAGCATTTAATAAGGATTCCTCATTACCCTCAACCTCAGCAGCATGTATTGTCATTTGGTTTCTGGATATTAATCATTTTGCAATGTATTAACAATTCATTCGAGCATTCAAACCACCACTTGTCTTTTTGTCTATCTTACATCACTACATCTCACCTTGATCATTCCTGAAACCCACTATAGAGGTAGTGTTTTGGTTAAGAAATATTTATCAAGGGCTTGGGTATTTGAACACTTGATCCCACATTTTATTTGTTTGTTTGAAGAGGTCATGGTAACTTTTAGGGGATAGATGGAACCTTGCTGAAGGCAGTGCATCACTGGTAGGGCATTGGATAGAGTGAGAAATTTTAGCCTCATTTCTCTACCAGTTTAATCTCTTTGTCTCTTGTATGTGCAAAAAAAAAAATTTGTTTGTTATATGGCACTGTATCTTTTGACACACAAACAGATGTGGACTCATCCCAGGTAGAGATAGACCACTTGAGTATATAGTCTGTATTATTATATATTGGCTACATGTTTTTTATTTTTTATTCTAAGAGACTCACAATTAAGTAATTGCTCTGGTTCACAGAAGCATCTTACGACCTTTGAATGGTATAAATTCTGTTAAAGTCTCTGGACACTCTTGAAATGGAAATAAGCAAATGTTGCATTATGACATGGCTATGAGTATGTGGAGGCCAGGGAGTGGCATATGGTGCCTGAGAAGTGTCCCCTGAAAGCTCAGGTATTTGAACACCCAGTTGGGGGTGCTTTTTAGGATTTCTAAAAGCTTTAGGAATTGAACCTTGTTGGAGGATGTTTGTCCCTAGGGAGAAGGTGTTATTTCACGTCCTTTCCCCACTTCTGGTTCACTTTCCCTGGTTTTTGTATACACTGAGATGTGACTAGCCAAATTTCAGTCATTAGAGTCATTGATATGTATTTTCCATTTGCAACCATAAGCTAAAATAAATGCTTTTGTAAGACACTTTTGGAAATGGTGTTTTATCACAGCAGTGAATGGAAAAAATAAGAATTCCATATCTCCATGATATTGAAGGAACAGAGACAGACACATTATGTTTCAAAATAAAATATGTTTGTTCATTGTAGATACTTAGTGATGCATATTTAAATTTGATAATTAATGCATCACAAAACTTTGTTTTTCATAGTTCAGATGTTCAGCTTTACACATGTTAAGGCTAAAATTTTTTCTAAGTTTTATGGTAAGAAATTGTGTAAAGAACCAGAGAAATGAGAGATTATAATCAAAACCACTTGTATCTATAGTATACATGTTGCTATAATAAAATCTTTGTAATAATTTATCAATAGAAATGTTTTATTTGGCCTCATGCCTTTGAAAAATTTAGTGTAATACCACATAGAACCATTGTTTTGTGCCTTATCAACACTCTGTGCAGGAACAATGGCAGGGGTTTGAGATGTGCATGACAGTAAATTGCTCACATCATTTGCTAGGGGGAGTGAGAAGAGAAGTTGAGGGAAGAAAATTAGAGGAAGGGATGAAAGAGAAGGGGAATGATGGGAAGGGAGGAAAGAGAACAGAACAGAGGAGGAGAGGGAAGGGAAGAGAAGAAGAAAAATGTGAAGCTTGGTTCCCACAGCTTCTTCAGTAATATCTTAATTGAATAACAGCCTCCTATTATGCAACATGTACCAATAACTCCACCCTGTATATTATTAAATCAATAACTGAACTTCCAAGCATCATTTATACAAGCCATAAGAGGAAAAATATGTAGGTCATAGCTTTTATTTTAGCAAATCATTATTAAGTCTTTTTAATTCTGCATCAAAATTAAAGTTCTCATATACTACAGCACAATCTAGGAAAATAAAACATAGAAAAGTTTTAGATTTTTATCTTAATTCACTTAATTTATGTTGCACTTCCATTACAGCCTACAAGATGAACATACCATTAAGAAGATGATTTATTACTGATGATATATGTTTGTACATTGTATATATTATCAAATGATTTGGTTAATATAATATCTCAATCATGTAAATAGAGGGTTGCTTGCTTTCTATTTTACTTAGCTTTGAATTTAATTCATTCTTATACTTCCTCCCTCTTGCTATGATATTTTTGCTTAAGTAATATAAATAATGTCAATGAAATAACTTCAGTAATGGATGCAAGAATATGACACGTGTACAATTTCTACTGTGCCAGGATTAGGAAAACTGTGTGTTGTAAATGGCAATGTGAGAATAGAATATTTTGACTTTGGGAAAATTGATTTAACAAGTGCCCAAGAGCATTTTCCAACTGCTCCTTTCCAATCTGATATTAATATACATCTGTTTTATTTGTTTGAAGATTATTCTGAGTGCAAATATGTGTCAAATTAAGAAATGCATTGTAGTGTGAATGTCAAAATATTGTGTTTCTGACTCTTAGATTCTGCAGTAGCCTCTTTAAACAAAATCATTTGGCTTTAGATTACAGATGTTCAGTTCATATTTTCATCTATACAACAAACTTTCTTTTTAATTTTTATTGAAATGCAAACACTATAATTATGTTATAATTTTCTCTGAGTTTATTAAGCTACAGAAACCTAGAGCTACTTTCCAACTTGTTTCAGTAAAGTGATAAAAATAAAATAATCGATTTATCCATGGAATCTAGAATCAGTATGTGATAGAATAGAAAAATACACATAGACTGTAACTCTACAGTGAAGACTGAAATGAAGAAAGGGAGGTTCCTAACTAACTACATATCTCTATGGAGCACATAAGAGGTTAGCAGGGGAGTGTTAATAGGCCTCAAATCATCTGAGGAGTTGGACTCCACTGAAACAGAAGCTGACCCCAAATAGCCATGAATTACAGGACCCTCATAGTTTAGAAGGCATAGCTACAATCCCACCATTGAGTTCTAATTCCAGGCTCCAAGTACAGGAATACCAGACTGCCAATAATATTGCAGGCTTATGTTACTCTATATTTTAGACTTACCTGAGAAATATTACCTGTATTTGTACAACAAATAATTATAATTATGTTTATAGAACAAGAATAATCTCTGATGATGACTCCTAAACTTTCCCACCTCAGGGATAGATCTAAAGTCCTTGATAACTTTGTCCCTTATCAGCCTCCAGTTCTCTCCTTACCCTTAGGATCTGGGAATTTTAACTCATTCCATGAGCCCTAAAAAAAGTACACTATCCTTAAGTCTTCACTACTTACATATACTGAACTCCCATACTTCTTTCCCAGGAAGAAGTGGATATACTTCATCAGAATGAGTCAACAAATTTCTGCTGTCTGCTCTCTCCATCCTATGTGTGTCTCCATGAACACTTAACACCCACACTCTATTGCAACTTCCATATATAATGCATGAGTCTGATAGACATGCCATACTTTTAAATTATCTTAAGCTCCTGATTTTACTAACCTCTAGAGCCTAGACAGGTTCTATGTTTTGGCTCATCTAAACAATTTGTGTTCTTTTCTCATTCCTCAAAAGCCTTTTACACAGCAATGAGAACAGATCCTATTGTGTCCTTATATTATCTGATGTATAGAAGTGTATCCAAAGTCACATTTTGAGGCAGTAGCAGAGCCAAACCTAGATATTAGGATATTTGTCTCACTAGTCTAGTCTAAGTGAGGTCTGTATATACCAATACTCAAATAATCCTTTGTTAAAATTCTCTATTACTTCTAAATACTGGTGATAAGTTACTTTCCTCAAATGTCTGCATAATAAGAAGATTTTAACTTATAAATAAAAGCAAGCTCATTTCATATGAAAAACATAATTGATTTATCCTATAGCTTATCAAATTTCTCATGTTATCTCAGTTACTAACATGAATTGTGAAGGATTATAGTTTTTCTATTTACAAAAGTTTATCTAAAGAGACTAGTTTTTATATAGGACTACTGAAGAAAG